ATCTATCTATCTATCTATCTATCTATCTATCTATCTATCTATCTATCTATCTATCCATCCATCCATCCATCCATCCATCTATCTGCTATTATGGCTTATTTTATTTGTCTTAAAATATAATAGAGCTATCCTGAGCAAGTTTACTTAGTCCCCTCCCCCAAAAACCCAAAATACTGTATTCAACACTTTTACTCCCAGAAAAATAAGCTTAGGAATGGAGCCTTAGACAGCTATAAATGGAATAGTATCCATTTTACAATATAATGGATATGATTATAAACTTACTGTGAATCCCAACAATGACTAGATAAGCAGAAATAAGTAAGTAAATATCCTAATATAAAATGTAATAAAGAATTGCTGCTACAGAAAATAATAACACACTGATTTGTATTACAAGCTTTCAAAGTTTTTAACCCATACATGTTTAAATTTAATTTTTCCCTAAAATTCTGAATGCTAATAATCTGTGAATGTAATTACATCTATTGCCATGGGACAAAACATTTCAGTTGGTTATGATTTTCAGAGTAATGTCACTTGTATTTCTCTAATGCCAGAAGATTATTCATATGAAGTTATTTGATATACTGTAAGAGATCTTTTATAGATATATGAGACGAACACAGGAAATACAGACTTCATTAGCTGTTCCTATCTTAAACATAAAATGCTAAGCCAATAGATATGTGTAATATATTGCCTCATCCCAAACCTGTTTTATTGCAAAAACCAAATTACTTTGAAAATTTTATTGCCAATATTAAAATTCCAAGTCTGTATGTATATAGTTTATACAGCCACTAAATACAGCTTCTAAAAGTCTTGAAGTTAAGTAACTGCTATGTGCATAATGCAGACTGTTAGTTTTGTTTTTTAATTTATGAATTTTTGAAGCATTTAGGCTACACTTAAATGACATTTTGCTGGTCACCAACTGAGACAAAGCTTCCCTCTTTCTAAGCAGTTTTTGGAAATGAGCCTCATTGAATTTGATTAGACTTCAGTAATTCATCAAAAATATATACTGAAATAAACTTTATCAGCAACTGTCAGCTATGCTTACTTTCCACCCAACCACATTAGGATTCTGACTGTTTTATATGAACAAATAGAAATGACTATTCATTTGCACAGCTGTCAGTTTGCTTTCTGATTATTATGACATTATTTGATGAGGTTATACATTAGTTTGATAGTAACTATGTTTAAAAGTAGCTTTCTCAAATGCAGAAGGATGTTTTGAAATAATTTGCTAAATATATTTGGACCAATCAAAGTGACCATGTCCTATACTATGGATATATCTGATTAGTCTGTCATCTACTCTGAAGAAGATGTAGCCTGATTCTCCTATGTTGTATAGCAGACCAGCTGTTAGCTGTCTGTCAAGCACCTAAAGTGGACAAGTAGTCCAGGAGCAAAAATGTCACTCCTTTGATCTGGCAAGGAGCAGCCGCTGATTTATAGAGGAGGACTTTGTTCTTCCGTTCTATTTTACTTTCTTTCCTAAGGCAGAACCACAAAATCCAGTAGAAAAAAAAGAGTGCCCTTCTCTGCAACATCAACAAGCTCTGACAACTGCAACAGGGTTTTTCTTGGCCCTAACAAAGCTCTTAGGCATCTCCTCTGACGCTCACCTTTCCCACCCACCTCCTTCCTTTTGCAATGTGATAGTTATTGTTTAATTCAGCTTCTGTAAATGGAATGGACTGTGGCCAGCAAGCCTGAGGCATAAACACACCTGTATGAAAGAAGCCTTATTGTAGCAACCAACCTCCACGTAACACTACTGGCTCTTGAGTTCAGAAACTATGCTCCATTTTCCTAACAGGATTTTTTTTTTTAATCCACTGTCCTATTTTCACTATGCTTGTATATTTTCTCACAGCTATTAAAATCTTGAAATCCCAAAGCAAAAGGATTAAGATACACAAAATACGCCCACCTTCACAAGCTGTCTGTCAACTTTATGGACTTTAGAAAATTTGTTATGAACAGCCTTGAGATTTTAAAATTCATAGTCAACATAAATAATACAACTGCCAATATAGCAAATGTACCTAAACTAGTGCAAACACCTTAAGGATCAATGGTGTCAATTTTTCAGCCACATGTTTGCCATACTGACAGTCACAATCAGGGAATGACACTATACTGATTTATTAAG